TCGCATCTTCGCAAAGACGTCGCAGTTGCAAAGGTTTGCCAGTAAGGTCCTGGCATCCATGCAGACCTGGTCACGGGCCGGGCTAGACTCGGCTACCCGTCGAGACCCCAGCCCTAAGGTCGTGGAGATCTAAGCGAAGTGCGACTTCGGTCTTCTGCTTGCCGTTGGCCTGAAGCTTGAGGCTTAGGATTCTGGAGCGAGATTGTGGTCCACCGAGTGTTCTGCAGCTTCACTTTTGATTGTCATCGGGAGAAAACTCACCTTACCCACTGGTCAGATCGCAAACTGGCGCTCCAACAGCCTCCGTAGTCTCGGTCTCCGGCGCGAGTTCCGTGGAACAGCCCGCCGGGCCTGGCTCTACAAATGAAGCAAGCGGGGCCCCCATCGGGTGGTTCTCTCCGGGTCGCCAACTGCGGTGGAACCTGGGAGCCGTTAGGCGCCCCCTGAGCCGGGATGAAGAGATCCGCAGCCTTGGCCAAGTTGCAAGGCCCCCAGCTTCCCAAATTAGAGTTTTGGAATCTTGGGTCAGGGCATCTGTAGATCCGTCGGGTATCACAGCTCCAAGCCTCGAGTTGAACCATCTTGAACTTGGAAATGCTCTGGAGGCGGCTGTGTCGTGTTGCTGTCTGGGACAGGGACTTCCTTCGACCGTTGTACCACCGAACCGTCCCCATGCCTTGTAGCTGCACGCTGCAAAATCTGCAAAGGCTGAAGGCTCTGTCCACAACTGAAGCTCTCGCGTCGGGCCGGCTTGGGAGGAGGGGCCGGGGACGCCTCAGAAGGAAAGGGCAGAGTGCTTCAAAGTGCCATCTTGGCCGGGCCAGGCTCCGCCAGGCTCCGGGCAACCCGAGAAGCTGCCGCCCCTTGGGCACGACCGGTGAGCTCCTTAGCCGCTGAAGCGTTCAACGAGAACACACACACACACACACACACACACACACACACACACACACACACACCCCAGGGTCTCCTGGGGGTATGGGGTTTAGGGGCCCTTTCAAGGCTTACCTCTGTCTCCAGCTAGATTTGTGGTAGGCAGCATAGAAAAGGGCACATACGCAACAATTGCACACAAGACTCCACGCCCAGCCCATTTCCTCCAGACAGAGAAGAGAGCATGGCAAGATTTGAGGCAGCGAGGAATGACTTATTCGTAGAGCGGACAAACTCAGAGCCTTTCCTGTGAAGCGAAAGAAACGAAACACAATGCAAGCTTCACTGCTTAAGGAATGTAATCAAAGCTCTCAATGTAAAACTCAAGGCTTTAGACCCGAGACACCCGAACCCCAAGCCGTTGCAATCTAAGTTTAAATTTCATACTGCGATCTGGAGTTGGTGCACAGCACACCACTAGAGCTCGAAACTCTTGCTGGCGTAAAGAATGATTGCGTGTTTTTCGCGATTTGGGGTTTAGGGTCTAGGATGTAAAGTTCAAGCTGATTTTGTTGGTTCTTGGGGCGTGCCGGACTGATTTGTGGCCTGAAGTGCGATTTTGGGTTGAAATTTCAAAATGTGTTGATTTTTACTGAAATCTTGACACATTTTCAAGAAAAAAGAAGTTTGTGTCTCCAAACCATCCAAACTGCCCCCAAGCCGCCCCCAAACCACCCCCGAACCACCCCCGAACCATCCCCGAACCACCCCCGAACCACCCCCGAACCATCCCCGAACCACCCGTGAACGTTCTGAAACACGAAAAAGCAGGAAACGTTGTTAAAAACAAGCGCGTCTCCGACAACTTCTCTTTTTTTCAGAAAATGTGTCAAGATTTCCAAAAAATCACCAACGTATTGAAATTTCAACCCGAAAACGCACTTCAGGCCACAAATCAGTCCGGAACGAGGCCAGGGGCCCAAGAACCAACAAAATCAGCTTGAACTTTACATCCTAGACCCTAAACCCCAAATCGCGAAAAACACGCCATCATTCTTTACGCCAGCAAGAGTTTCGAGCTCTAGTTGTGTAGTGCGCACCAACTACAGATCACTGCAAAGCAACATGAATACGGAGTTGCAAGGAAGAAGAATCTGGAGAACAACTGAGATCAGTCGGATGACAATGACGTCTCTGAACAGCCCACAGCATTGACGAGTCAGACGGTTCCATCAGATCAAACACAACCGAAATGGGTTTAGGCCTGAAAAACTTGGAAATGAAATGCAAGTTCGTGGCAATGTGCCATTAGCGCGAGCAATCATGTGGAAACTGTTACAGATTACAGATATTTGGTGTGAAGTCGAGATGTTGGGGTCTACTAAATGACAACACGTGCAAAAGAGTTCAACATGCATTTTCCAGCTCAGAAGGAGACCTCGGGAAATGCTACTCCCTTCTTGCTGCCCGGGGCCCCGGACCGGCGCGGGTGGAGGCGACCTGCGAACACGCGCTTGAGAATGCTGAGACACCGTGAGAAAGAAATGTCGACGCGAAATGACGGCCTCGGCGCAATCTCGGGAACCGGGCTCGATGGAGCGGCAGAGGCATCCTGCATGCCCAACGTTCTGAGAGTTGAGCGCTGTGTCAAATGGCTTGAACTAACTGGTCCTCCGTGTCTGGAGCAGGAAGGAGATTGTCTGGGCCTAGCGAACATCAAGTGTGAGGTTCACAAGATTTCGCTGGGATTTCACCAGGGCCTGTCGGTTTGATTCATGCAGAACATGCAGCGGCCCAGTCGGAACTATGCTAATTTCGCTGTCTCGGCTGCAGGCGTATGGCTTTCACGTCTCCGCTGGCGAGAAGCTTCACCTCTTCAGCTCGTCATCACATGTGCTTAATGAAGTGTTGGCAGCCCATCACATGTCAGAGACACTATGCTGCAAAGTAACCGTAAGCCTTAGAAGACTTGAGCAATACACTGCGATTGCAGATCCTACCTTCCCTCGAGCTTCTTTGATTTCCCATGAGGGGCTCAGCCAAGCCCTGGCCTCCCAGCGCCCGGACGCCGCGTCGAAGCGCTCCAACTTCCCGCGCCTCGTTTGGATATTTTGCACTGCATGGGCTAGCGGACTAGCGTCTAGCACCTGCGTGAAGAAATGCATCGGGCGTCTGGGAAGGGCGCGATCCGTTGAGCGCTGCGGCCTGCTTCAGGTTTGTGAGCATGACCTCGGTAATTTCGCATCAAGAGATGGTGGGCGCCAGGGCCAGGGCCATCTGGCTTAGTGGCTTAGGATTGCACCATGGCGCCAGGCTGAAGGCCATCACCTTCCCCTGACCTTTAAAGGATGTATGTAACAGTTCTTCGGCGGACCACTGTGCCCCTTCATCAAATCCGAGCGCGTGGCAGCGGCTCAAAGCTCACAGGCTTTGAGGCCGGGCGCCTGGCAACGAGAACTAGAGACTTTCGACACACTGCCCGCATTGCTCCGTGCAGAGAGTGCAGACTTGCTGAGCGTCATGCGGTGGCTCCGTCCGACCTGACTGCGTTGCAGATCATGTTGTCATAGACATCCAGACAAAATGCATCCCCGTACACACTGCCGAGAGTGGAGCTTCGACTTCTGCTTCTGCTTCTGCTGCTCTCATCACTACTATCCTCCGTCAATGCTGGGCCGTGACTGTGGCAGCATGGTACGGTCAAGTAAGGCGAAGATAGGCCAAAGCCGGTCCTGGCATGCAGCCCTCGCTGCTGCTGCCCGTCGCTCCTGCAAGAAGACCACTGCCAGGCAACACGATGAGCCATGGACCAGTTGCTGGCCTCTTCGGCATCAACGGCATCTTTTTCTCGTTCCCTAGCTCGCCTCAGGGCAGAGTCTGCCAAGCTTGCCGTTCCGACTGGGTATCCTTGCTACGAGTAGTAAGCATGCGGCTCTTCTGCTAGCTTGCCTCGCGAGTTTCTTTCTCAGCGCAGCAGCAAGCCGGAGAACTCTGCAACAGTTCTAAGTTGTAAGGGTCGAACGCTTGACAGTTGCTTCGTCCATGAGATCGCTCTGTGAGCTCTCTCCTGACATCAACCAGATCCAACACATCGGGCCCGAAGTGCCTTCCCCTTCTGAGGCTGGGGCTCTCCCTTGCAACAAGACGCCGAGCTGCCTCCTCGTCCATAAGTCCGTCATCACTTCCTTCAAGCCAGGTGACAAAAACAGAGATTTGGCATATGCCGCAAAGCGCCATCGCAATACGACGGGGGCCCCGGGGCCTGTGGCTGTCTGCTGGTCGAAGCGACGGGAGAGTTCATCATCCGTGTATGCTCGGCCTGCCCAGGTGCGGACCTCGGTTCAAAGTTCAGCAGAACATTTCATGAGGCTCACATCCTCTGCTAGGGCTCACGCTCTCGAGTCCTGTTCCTGGAACTGCCGCCGCATCCGGTCTAAGCTTCAAGTTCCATGCTTGCAGAACTGCTTTTCTCTCACGTCACTTGCTGGCATTCCTTAAAGTTGCTGCTCTGGTGACCGACGTTGAGCTCAACTTAACCATGGAGCAAGGTGCATGCGAGAGTGAGGGTGCTGTGGCTGGTCGAATGATGCCGCTGCTTGCTGAAGCTGCTCAAGCATGTCTTCCGGCATGAGAAACAAGTCTGCTCTGCACTGTTAGTAGCTAGCGATTCGTACTTCACGGCACATTTTGACGTGGCTGCGCCATGCCGTGTCTGGGACTTCTACGCTGACGAAAGTGAAGCATGAGAGGTGGCTGCTTGTTCAAATGGGTGCAGGGCTCAAGGGTCTACTGAGTTAGTTAACTGTATTAAACTGGATGCTTAGATTTGCCTGCATCCTGATTACTGCTTGGCTGCAACTAGCCGTCACCTCCCCGCTTCAACAAGAGAAACCTTGTAGTAAAGATGTATACGGCGATGCGCAGGAGTGCACATGACGGGTGAGACGCGCATGCTCAAAAGCTTCTGGAAGCTCGAAGTTCAAGAGGTCAGCCTTCAACGACAGAAAAACTCTCAAATGTTTACTGCTTCACATGATGGCCTCCAGCAGTGACCTCAGTGATGCTGCGACCTCCAGCCGTCAGTCTGGGCTTGGGCCGGAACTCTGTGGGTGCAGCGCGCCAGGCCTTTAGCTTCTGTCTTTGCGAGAAGGAGTGCTTGGCTTGCCTTCCAATCTTCTGCGCTTCGCCGTTTCCACCTGTGAGTGTGAAACGACTGAACCATGACATCCCGAGGCTGGGCCGTAACGCCTGCTCCGTTTCACCGGACTCCTCTGCTTTTCGAACGGACTCGACCAGGTACTGGAAAGCATCCTGACAGAGATTCGGCATTCATCTGCCGTTCCCATCCTGTGGCCCACGAGGTCCTCCGCACTGTCTTTGAAGACCAGCATGTCTAAGTGCGATTGCGTCAGCCTGACGAGACGATTTTGGGCAAGGAGACGGCGGCTCACTGAGATGCAACAGTGATCCCCGCTGAGCTCTGCACATGCCGCATTCCATCAAATACTGGAAGTTAATGGTCTTTTTCCAGAATTCTTCTCCCAGCAGAATGATCGGCAAAGGATGGGAGATTTTCCTTGCACAGGCTAGAAGGTGCAGACTTGACATGCTTGCACCGGCACCGGCAGATCTGCGCCAAGAGGCTTGGTCTGCAGGAGCACTAGCAATTCAAAGAGCTCATCCAGTGACCCGAAGCCTTTCACCAGGCCACGGTCGGCATGCGGAGCATGGCCATGGCTGGAACGGCCCGGCCTCCTGGGCAGACTACGAGGCCCATGCACTTGTAGGCCATCCAGAATTTCCGCATGAAGAAGTAATGGAACTCGAAGGCACCCTCCTCCGACACGTACCTCCCAGCTTCGGGCGGGCCCCGCTCTCCTTTCGCCGCTTGGCGCGTGGTGCAGATGTTGCAGCCAAGGCTCTTGTTCAAGGAGCCCCACCTCTCAGGAGACTTGCAAGTGGAAAAGAGTAGCTGCTTTGCATCTCACGTGCTGTTGAGTGGCTCTGGCCGGCTGGCCCCGAAGCCGAGCGTTTTGTCTCCTATAAGAACGACCCGCTGCACTACACAGCCGCGCGGCTACGTATTGCTCTACGCCCCATCAAGTCCTCAGCTACGCAGACACAGCAAAGCCGTCCTGCTTCGTGGGCGCCGCGATTCGCAGCCTCCATGATGCCGGGACCACCACCGGTGCTGACGTGATACGACCTTGCAGGACAGCATACACTGAAGCACCCATGTCCTGCAACCAATCCCACAGATCCTGTATACACTGCACTACACTGAACTCTAACACGACGGAATACACTTTGTCAGAAGGATGGCTTGAGGCGCATGCGGCAATCCTTTGGCGGCGCGCTGCCGATTCCATTCGCCGAGCTTCTTTCCAAGCTCCATGGCCATCCTGGGATCAGAGCAACAACGGACTTTGAAATGCTATAACAACATACCTTGAACTACTGCAAAACTATCAGAGTCTACTATAGCATATACAACGCTCTCCGCCACAAACTTCGGCAGAAGACGGTATAACCGGCATGAGGATGTGAGCTCAGAAATTCTTTTCGCCGAGGTTCACATAGAACTTGTCCATAGCCTGTATCTTCTGCGCGAATCGTAGCTTGGCCTGCATAGCTTCGACCTGCAGTGGCGGAGGGTCCCCTAACAGAGACCCTAAATTATCCGAGGATCCTGGATTCTGATTCAACGACCCCGCTCTGGTACCCGGGAAGCCTCCTCTTCTGCCGTGAGCTTCTTGAGCTGCTGCTCGAGGCCGGCAAGGTGCTTGACGCGGTCCTCAGAGAAAAAAGAAGTCTTTTGTGACAGGAGTGGCCATGTCTCTCTTGAAGCCGCCTCTGGATGCATCATGAGGTGCGAGCCGACCTGCCAGCACATAACTCTAGCTTCTCCTCCTCCATTCACAAACGAAATAGTTCTTTCGAGGTGCGATAATAAAATAATTGCTAATGTCGTGCTTGTCCAAGCGCTGCATGGGCTCGTAGAGCTCACACCTCAAAGCCAACAGGCCCCCTCTTTTCGAGGTATACATGGGTCTTGAACTCTCTTCTTGTCCTTCCACTCTGAGATCTTAGCATAATCCGGACATGGCGAGAGGTCGCTGCACCCAAGAAGTCGGGGTTTTTGTATGCCTTCAGGAAAAAGCAATCTGCCATTCTCTTGAGAGGTGCTTTGGATTCTGGCCGCGGCGCCTTGATGGTCGGGACATTCTTGAGTTCGCCGTTACCACTCATTGCCGCGGCGGTTCTGCCTACTAACCCGCTTGGAACTGGAGCCAGTGCCTTCCACGAAAACTGCGACCTCGGGACACTGCTGCCCTAGACGCTTCGGCCCACCGCGAATTGCACAAGCCTGCACACTCCCTCTTTCGAACCTGGCTCCTGAGAGGTCCAGAAATCTATGTATCACTGAAGCCGGCATCTCACCTGGTCGCGTGGAGAGCCCTGCCGTTGTCGAGACAGGCATGCACACGTGCTTGGTCAGCTCGTGGCGCAAGCAAGAGTGACAGAGAAATGTCAGTGGCCTCTGAACGCTTCTAATCGTCCCTGCTGTCGAAGGGAGACAGAGGCCTCAACTGGTAAGCAAGGGAGCGGCGCAAATGCTGATTGGGAATTATTGGCGCATCTATCCGCCGTTCACTGTTGTGGCCGCGGGCAGCACTTAGCAGATGGGCGAGGAGAAAGTCGTTTCCCTGTGTTCCAAACTCGTCGCCACATGGCCCTATACATTAAGTTGCTGGAACATCTATGAACATCTGGCCTTCACCAACTGCTTGCCTGCACCTGCCCTGGAAATCGAGTCTTGGCTGTTTGCACGCAAAAGCAGCGCAGTGGCCGCAAAGAGATGGAGTAGGAGTCAATAGCCGTGGCACGTGACGACTTCAAGGATGGTTCCAGACTTCGAGGCAGCACTGCCGACCCGATCCACTCAATTTGAAGAACACAAGCGCCCAGCTAGAGCAGGAAGAGTTAGCCAAACCACGGTGTTGCTGCTCGTCATGCGTGTGGCAAATCAAACGGCGCAGAGTCCAACTTCCGCTTCGGTGTGCTCTTCCACCGGCTGAGCACTCTTCACGGTGCACCCGCATGTTTGTCGTCGTTTCCAGCAAATCTTTCTCTTGGGCACGGGCTTTGTGCAGCCAATCGGAACCGGGTATTCCATGCGACCTGGCCATGGAGCAGGATTTTAGACGGAGACAAAGCCGCTCTGATGCTTCAAATGCAGCCATCGTGCAGTATGTCACAGCATTTCACAGCCGCACCAATTTCTCAGCATGAGCAGGCTGTAACCGAAAACGGCCCACTACGTCAAATCCAGACAAGGCCTCCTTCGCCGAGCCATTGCCAAGCGACCATCTGCAAAGCACAGCAGGAGATTCAGAAAACCGCAACCCTGGCTTTGAGAAACCTCCAGCAATCACTTCACATCTCTCTGCTTCGACGGGACAGTATCTCTACTTCGTCACGAGTTGCGGGAATGTGCTGGGTGACCTCTGATTCAAGACCTCCCCGACGTGGTTTTTGTTGCACTTTCCGTCTTGCCTTGTGCTTCGTCAGGGAACTTAGCGGCATCGGCCGTGGAGCAGCCGTCCCGATGGCACCCTCAGATCCAAGAGGAAACGGAACTTACAAGAACCTTTCCCCTTCTAAAACAAGCTACCTCTTCTCCCTGTTCCCCTACGGGCCTCTATGAGCTCCTCGACCACTTGGAGCTCCTTCTTCTTGGACATCGCGGGGATGCGCCTCTCGGCCTCGTCCTTTCTGACCGTCTTGGCCTTGGGCTCTGCTCTGGATAATCGGAGGACCTGCCAAGTTCCCGCTGCCGATTCAACGATAAGAAGTGCAACGGCTGCCAGAGGGTGCAATCGTAGGATTTGGGCTGGACAAGACTCGTGCGTAGAAGGACACCGAAGTGCGCCCTTGTTGGAAAAAAAGCTGCAACATAGCCGCACAAGTTCCGCTGTTAGGCATAGTCACAACGGAGGAGAGATGGGCAAGACTGCCAGCACATAAAAAGTTTCGGGCAAGGCAAGCACAGCCTTGACTTACATACGACATCATTACTATATTGTCATAAATACAAAAACATGAACGGCATATTATGGATTCTTTATGTAGCAGAGCGGGCGTTGCAGCAGCTCACAGCGAGAAACCGCTGCCGTGCTAACAGTGATTTCATTATTCTCTATTGCAGTAACAGCTGCTGTGCATGTGGCCAAACATCGATTCGAATGCAGCTGCTAGCAGATGCAGCGATTTGGAACTGCAAATCCGTCGGTCACTTCCCCTTGAAGCTGCGGACAAACACCCTGTTTTGTCAGCAAATTCGATAGCTGTAGTTGCGAGGGTGGGCCATTGGACCCACCCTCCTGCCTTTGCCTCATCCGGCCAGCTGGGGCCATCCAACGATTGCGCCCACTCATCGGGCGACTAATTGGCAGCCGCATCGGCTGCTGCTATACGATAGCGCACCTGTCGCGAAGAACAGTCGAGCCCAGCCCAACCATCCCTCACGGCGGGTGGGCGGACGGTTGGATTGAAAGAGTTGTGCTTGCAACACAAAGGCATCCATCTGCGCACCAAAACGGGGGATCTGGAGTCATGCAATACGCGATAAGGTGACGAAGAGCAAAATTGCGAAAATGCTACTCGTGGCACGAATACGCGCTTGTTGCAGTCGGACTGGGAGTAAAATAGGTCACTCCGCGGTGCGGGTACTTCCCTGACCCTGCCCTCCCAACTCGCCTGACGGCATCGTGTTTTAAATGCACGAGTCCTTCAGCTAACAATCTAAAATAGCAAAGGCCAACAGCGTTTGCCAGAGCAGTTCTGCTTGCCTTCGGCAATGTGGTATGCACGCTTTCGCCAGGCAATCTTGGAAAGGAGGTTTCTGCGAGAGATTGGCGGAGGTGGGGCTGGAACACGACCAGAGTATCTCGCAGCTCCCACGGCATGATCACAACGCTCCCCTGTACTGGCGGATTCAGAAACATCCACCACCATGCTTCCTACTGGCGATTCAGGAGCACGCCTAAAATGCTTGCCCCCAGTATCTTTACTCTGCAAGTTGTATCAAGCCGTCTGGGGAATACTTTGCACGCTTTGCAGCAATGAAAAAGTCGCAGTAGGAATGAAAAAATCAAATTGTAATGCCCCGGGCATCCTTGCCTCCATCTGCTGTCTCGCAGGGAAGTTTTGGCACGGAAAGCCTTCGCCGTGTGAGGAGCAGACGCAACATCGACGATTTGGCAGCGTACGGCAGGGTGAAGGCTCCCACCAGGCCATCAGATAGAGCCGAGCCGAAAATCTGCAGAGCTCCAAGGTGTGCGGCGGGTGGTTTGTTGATTTTCTTGCCAGTCGAAGCTCTTTCGCTTCTCGTTGCTGCTGTGGCTGTCCTGTTCGTTGCCTTACAATAGCCTTACAACTTTCTTCAGCATCGCAGGTTCGATCGTTAAGCCTCTCACTCGGGGTTTTCTGTTCTGCTGAGAGAACCGCGAGCTCAAACCAATCCTGCAATCATCACCTCGTCATCGCCATCCTCCTCACAATCACCACGACCATCGCAGACGGAATGACTCAAAATGCTTACAAACTGCTTACCAAAGCAAGAAAAGCACGGCCCTGCAGAAGCAACACATATATACTCACACGCACATACGCACGCACTTACGTACGTATCGGGCCGAAAGGACGGGCCTTGGCTGTGCTTGGCGGCTTCTCAGCCGCAGCCTTTGGCGAGCTTGCCTTGGCTTCCGGTCTGCAGACCTCAGATGAGTTCCATAGTAGTATCCTCCCCATCCGGTACCCCTCACTTCAAGAAGCCCCTCGATCTCTGTGACGCTCTCTCCTTGTGGCGTCCCTGCAGGCCTTGGCCTTGGCGGCACTTTTGGCCAAAGTCTGGGTAACCTTGTCAGCTTAACATAACAGCAAGCACAATCGTCTCGTGCCCCTGCCCGCCTTCTTGGGCTTTTTGCTGGAGACGGTTGCCTTGTCGCCCCGGCCTTGATGGCTCTGACGATCTCGGACGCACAAAACCAACCCAGGCTACAGCCGAGGAGCCCATGCCCGCAGCAAATGCGCAGCCGGCAGCATAAACTAGAAGAGGCCAGGATAAGTGTTCGATGGAGCACAAAGGCTGGCATGGTGGCCGAGATGCTTGGTGGGATGCTCAACACTGTACTTTGACAATCTGCACCATGCCATGGGGGCTTGGCTTGACGGCTTTGGATGTTAGACAGCTTGACCGAGCCTGCAATTATCTGCAGGAAATGGCACTTTGAACGTCGCGCAACCACACGTCTGATTAGCACACATCAGCACTCAAGCAACGGCAGGAGCCACATCTCCCAGCCCAGTCCGCATTCCAAAGGGTTTCGTCGCGGCATCGATTCTGCGTGAGTTGACCCGGTTCTATCGGGCACGACATGGGTACTAATAGCTAGCGGCAAATCGAAGTCCACATCCGCTACAGAAACTTGGCACAGCTGGATGCTGTTTTTCGAAGGGCCTTCAGCTTTTAATTCCTGAATGCGGCGACAAAACAAACACGACCAAGCTTCCAGAAAGTGCTATCTAGAGTGTAGAGAGCACTTTGTTGTCGGAGCACCTGTTTGTGCTCATATGTGCATGCCGCAGGTCTCCGGACGACTGCGCAGTCGATGGGGCCCTGAAGCTCTATGTCCAATGAGCTGTCTGTTTCTTGGCGCTCCTTCAATTTCCTCCTGATTTCGTAGCATGGGTTGTAAACAGACAGCCGGCGGTGCCAGGTGCCCTTTTAGCAACTTCGAGCACTTGTTTGCACGGTGTGCCAGAACAGCCTGCTTTCACCTTTTTCAAGAGTGCTTTGCACATCTTTGCACACTACACGTGCTCTTTCAACTGGCCTGGGCCTGCCTCAGTCTTTTGGACTTGTCTGGGCCCGTTCCAGCGCCGAGATTATGTGTTTGCCGTACCTCGGCTCGCAGATGGTCAGGGCGATTGCAAACACTGAAAAGACAAGCACAGCGGATCTCGAGTTGCCCCAGCCACGCTGCGTGTTCGACTTCTTGAGCACCGGCATGTGCTCTCGAAGCTTCCAGAACAGTAAATCACGCTGTGGACTTTGCGCCAGTGCAATTACCCGTTGAACGATGTAGTTGCCAAACCTGAAGGCTGCGAATATTCGCTTGTCATTGCTGAGGGATCAAGTGTTGAAGATTGTCCTGTGTCCCTGCGGGCCTGTCTCGCATCATGACAAGAAGTGGCGGATGCGGATCACCCTGCTGGCCAGTTATTGCCTGATGAAGGAACCAGGAGCCAATGGAGAAATCTTGTCAAACCGCACAGGTGCTACATCATGAGTCACCTCCCACCTCCACGAGGTGCGATCTTTCCTCTGGCGTTGCGCACTGCAAGGCCTTCTCAATCACGTTGCTAGCATACTTGTGGCCTCGGGCAGCAAAAAGTCGAACAGGAGCCGCTCAAGATCATAGAAGCGCTCAAGCTCCTCTTTGCCGTAAGTCTCGGGCAAGAGAGCGACAAAATGTTTTTGCGGACAATATTCATCACCTGCTGCCGGTCACCAGGTCGACTGCTGTGCTCCATAACATGTTGCACAACCTCAGCCAAAGCAACACGGCGTGCGTGTTCCGGAGCTGGCGCTTGCTGCAAGCCATGACTAAGAAAAGGCCAAGAAGCATAGTTGCCGTACTGATCCGTTGCCAGCTCCATACCTGAACAGGTCTGTCAAGGGGCCAGCACTAGACCCGTGACTGAGTAGAGGTCAGGACGACAGGGCTCCACTATGGGTAAAAACTCCGTCACTGCAGGTTTCCGGGAACTGTGCAGACATGCTTGCGCTTGGAGCTTCTGCAGCAAACACCGCAGCCTTATCCTGGCAACAACAAGTCAACCTGTGCTGCTGACGCTATTAATTACTGCTGTTTCCACTGCTGCTACCACTCCACCACCACCACCGCGACGGCAACAACGACGACGACAACAACCACAGCCAAGGACATCTAGATTTGATGGTGCTCTCCGATGCCGAGCGGCAGCAACCCAACACCTCATCGAGAAGTGCAGATATCTGGGCCGAAGCACAATATTCTATTAGCCGCTGAATAACTCTGCAGCCATAACCTGCGCAGCTGCAAGCTGTCGAGCTGTCGTGGAGACGACGCGACAAAGAGGACTGAGCCGAGTGGCAGTGTTTGGCCATTCGAGCAGCCTGACCTCACCATTTCTCGGCTCTCTGGGCTGCTCACGGCTCGACTCGACTGTCGAGTCTCTGAGTACCATGCCAGCAAAAGAATCGACAATGAAGCCGATCCGGTCGGTCGGAAGGCGTTCAATGCCTCGGCAGTCGGAGGCCGAAGCTGCCAAAGACTTAGATTCAAAGCAACAACAACGAAACTTTGCACAACACGGATTCCTGAGCCAAGCATCATTTTTGGATAACATGGTTGCCATGCTGATCTTCAATGCATTTGATGACCTGGGCTGTAGGAAGATCGAGGCTTGGTCCACTTGGTCTCCGGCAAGTGTGCTTCAAAACAGGCAGGAATCCCTTAGTGCGACTGCATGGCGTGACCCTTCAGCTCGCCAATCAAAAGCACTTGCTGTTCGATGGGAACCGAATCCAGTGCCTGCCAAGCGAGGCAAGTCAAACTTCCTTGAGCGGCTTCCTCTCAGACCCTCAGCTCCTGGCCTTCTGCACGACCCGGCACCTGCAGTCGATACATGCACTGTTGCGGGAGGGGGGGGGGAATGGTTCGCCCCCGATGCCCCATTTCCACTTCAGCCAAGTCACCCATACATTTGGAGCGAAAGCTTCAGGACTTGTCCCACCAGCTGCTCCGCGAGGATACGCCTCTGCTCGGAGTTTCCATACCTGGAGAATCGAGGCACTGGAGCTCTGGAAGAGTTAAACTGCAAGGGTGTGGAAGCAGCAGCCGAAGCACTCAAAGAACTTCTGTATCACGTAGTTTCCGAAAACATCAGTCGTCAACTGCGACATCCTCACTGCAACGAACTCAATGCGAGTTCAGACTCTGCAAACTGCTATGCTGACAAGCATCTTTTGAAGCACCTGCTTAAAGGCAATTTGCTTCTGCTCGTCGCTCGCCACCTCGAGCTTCTGCTGTATCAGCCTCGCAGAACACGGGACTCGGACATGGGGAGCTACAACGGGTTACCGAAGAGAAATCCCAGGAGATAGCCTGGAGCCATACTGATCCTGGGCTATCTCGCTGATATGTCCAGAGAGTTCCGCGAGATCAACCAGCCGTTCTCGTGCCTCGCTTAGACTCTGACGACATCACATGATGTCACATGGGTCCTCGAAGCATTTCCGACGTCCGACCGCTGTAGACTGCCGGGCTGCTTTCAAGTGCTCGATGAGCGGGCTGGTGGCCTGTGGCCGTAGCTTGTTAGCCATGCCATCCCCAGCCTGCCCACCGCGGCAGAGAGAGACAAAGCTTCGACGTCCAGGAACCTACGGGCTGCCTACAGCGCTCGGGGTGCCTTGCCTCGACTTGCCCAGCACTCCGTCTCCGTCTGTCACCCTTTCCACCTGAATGCAGCAAGGATGCAATCACAAGCACAGAACTTCCAAGAGCTGCAAGCTGATGCAAGCTGCAGAGCGCGGGCCTCCTTTGTCTGATGCCCGGTTCAAACTAGCCGACCCAGGGGCGATGGCACCCGGTTCATGCTGCTGGGGCTGAGGAGCATGCTTGGGTTCTTTGTCTCTGCGTGCTTTCGCCTTCTTGTCGACGGCTTGTGGTCGCGGTGGCTGGGGTCCAGGGGGGAGGGCTTGGCTGGGGCTAAGCACGTTCTCCTTGGACTCCCGTTCTGGCCGCTCGGGCTTTCGCGGCGCCGGCGGAGGCGGTGCCGATGGAGGGGCCGAAGTTGGAAGTCCAGAAGGTGTGCTTGCGGTGATGGGGGAAATGGCGGGGAAGTTGTTGGCACAGGGTCCAGGTGCTGATAGTTGTTGCTGTGGCTGCTGCGGCTGCACGGGCTGCGGCTGCTGCGGCTGGCTCACCTTGGCCAAATTCCCATCTAAGCACTTTTGCGCCAACCATCTTACCACATGAGGGATCTCGCAGCATGCCTCACAAGCTCCGGCACCTAAAGCTCACAGCCACTGGCCTGCTTTTGCAGGTTGTGATACTTTCAAGCCGTAGCACAGAACTTTCTCCTACCTGCACATGCTGCATTTGCGCGCGTCAAAGGACCACCGTGACATTCTTGTCAGGACAAGCTTCCATTGTTTTCAGCTTCCAAAAGGACAGGAAACCCGCATCCCAGCTTCATACCGAGCTTTGCGTGCCTCTACAACCGCTGCCAGCCCCTCATTCCCTAGAGCTGCTGCGCGCGACACCGATGATGTTCAGTTTCAAAGCGTGCCTGCACCCAACCAGCCTGAGGTTCACCTAGCTTCGCCTAATTTCCTACACACACTCGAGCGCGAGTGCCATCTGCCATCTGCCACACCGCACATAGCTCTGGGGCAGGTGCCGGTGGTGGCTTGATGACACCTGCTGGAGCAAATAAAACTCACGGCGCTTCACAGTGTAGTATACACATCCTTGCAGACACGCCTCCAGGCTGGGTGGCCTGCTGTTGCTGCGCCATCATCATCATGGACAGCACATTGGCATCAACAGGCACTTGCGCGCCAGACTTGCTGGATATTTCTGTGGTTCTTGCTGCCGCTGCAGGTTGCCCGGGTGCAGCTGGGCTGACTAACATGTTGTAGTAAGGTGGGGGCTGGTTCAAGCCCTGCCACAGAGTCTGCATAGGAGCATACGAGGAGAATCCGCTAGAAGATCCGGTGGGGCCTCCTGCTCCTGGTGCTGCAGGTGCACTGCCTGCACTGTCTGGTATGCGCTGCGGGGTGCCCAAGGGTGCAGGCGCACTCTTGGCTGGAGGGAGTCCGATGCCATCAGGCTCTCCGAAACTATTAATAACTCCGCCACCATACTGATAAACAGGCGAAGGTGTTCTTGTGGGAGTCCTGTGGGGAGCTTCGGACTCGATCCTTTGGTATGGAGCTCTGCCCCTGCTTTCATCTAAGCCTCCCAAGCCGCTGGTAAAAAACGGCGGGCAAGGCTCTAGCAGCGGGTTCCTGAGTGGATCTGGGAGCCCTGGCCCTGGTCTGCTAGGCGCATGCGCATCTTCTTCAAGAAGGATGCTGCTCGCCAACTCCCCCTCGTAACCAGCATCGGAGGGAAGCTGCATGTGCCGCTTCCCTGCACTCAACTTCTGTCTCACCGAACGCCTGCACGGCCATGCCCTTACACTATTGGTGGAGCCGTAAGCTGCAGAGAGAGAGGCACATGCAGAGGGGTCTGCAGGGAAGTACAGCTGCCCAAAATCACGAGACGTGGTTCAACGGCGGTCAGACTCCAGATCGTTTTGTGAATTAACAACGGCATGGCCTTCAGACTTGAATGCCAGAGTGAGACTGTTGGTGGGGAGCGCAGTGAAACACCGGCATGCAGTGTGAGATAACTGAGCAGTACTTGATTATGCTGTTGGCGGTATCTGCAGTATCGTAGCAGCCGAAGAGGTCGTGGGACCACTTTTGTCCGGAACCTCTAGCGCTCATGCCCGTGAGACTGAGTGAACGTGGCGCAACTCGTGCTTGCATGTGGCATGTGAGACTGAAAGCGTTTCGACTGAGCTGAAGGAGATGGACAATCTGTGCTAAAGTGCAAGCAGCGACATGCCGAAATTCGCCGAAGATGTGAGCCCTGCTCAACCACAGGCTGGCAGGCGAGCAAGCTAAGCGGCTAAGCTTCATGAAAATCCAAATTGTCGTCCTCTTCATCGTAGCTGCCGGTCCCTCTACAGATGAAGTCAATGCTGAGTCCACTCTCAACTTGAACTCGAAACCTGCATTTATAGAGCTCGTTCTTCTTGGGTCTAAAGGAGATTTTCAGTCGCTGTGGATCGAAGCGCTCTTCGTCCGGAAAAGCTGGTGCTCTGGGCAGTGCGGAGCTCTTGGCACACCAGTGGGGCAAGCGTTCCTCGGAACCAGGCACCAAGCCGTCTTTGGATGGGCCAGGAAGTTCACCGGCACTGACATCAAACTCAAAAGCATCCTTGTCGTCCAGCGCACGAAATTCCTCTTCTTCCGGCAAAGTAGCACCGATCACCGGTGCAGCCTTTCGCTTACGGCCAACATGCACCAGAGACCATTTGGCCAGCGTGTTTGTGATGTTGGAGATAAGGATACATCGGAATCTCGTCACAGAGCTCTGCACATGCGTGTAACCAAACTCCACGAGCACAGGGACTGGCTCAGACCAAGGGGGCCTCTCAGCCCGCTCGAGGCGTATCGGGCGGTCGAACTCGTTCGGCACAACATGCACTCGGACTGCAGGCCGTCTTGCAGTACCGACCAGATGGATCCTCTGGAGATCGTCCTCCGACCAGAAATTTTCTACTTGTACGAGCACTGCAATGGAGGGGGGGTTCCCTGGACCCACGCAGTGCAAACATGCTGCTACATGGCGAATCAAGTGGCACAGCGCGAGGCTTATAAAGACCTTGGAATCCCGGCCGGTCACTTCGGCTTGCCTGGCCCCGACACAGGCTGGGAGGGAAGAGACTAAATGCATGTCTTCGTGTCATGTGCCTGGAGAAGGCAACAACGACGACCATCAACAATGGCGATGCAGGCTGCTGATGGTGTAGTGGGGGTGGCGGCGGCGGCGGCGGTGGTGATGGTGGTGGTGGTGGTGGTGGTACGATCAAGATGCAAACCAACGTGGTTCATGAGGAAGATCGAAGGAAGGAGATCGACACGAAGGACAAAAGGAGATGCTATCCCTCACAACCCCTCACATCAGCGACAGGTGGTGAAAAAGCAGCTAAACCGACATCTACGCAGGGCCGTCCTTGTGGGTGTCGAGCTCACCTTCCGCATCCCGAGGGTACTCCACAATCAAGTCGCCCCTGAAGACATGCTCGTGCTTGGTCAAGTAATGCTCCCACTCAGCCACTGGAATCTGCTCAGGGGTGAACATCACATGCAGCGTTACCGTCTCCCATCTCGACAGCACGAAAAGCTTTCGAATGTCGGATTGCTGCTCCTCCTTCTTCTTGGCCTTACTGCTGGAGCTGTCAGGATTCACCACTGGATGTGCGCCGCCCTGTTGTATGAGCTGAATCCTGAACGGGCCTTCGACCCGAAACTTGCATGTGATTTTTGCAGCATTGTGGTTGGAGAAGCTGATTTGGCGGACCAGGCATGAAGAAATGCCCGTAACCTGAGTGCCGCCGACTGCACCTCCGTGCGAAGGACCAGTAGATGGCTGAGACCCCTGAGGCACCGAGGACCAAGTGAACTTAAACACCGGCGCATTGAGAACTGGAGGCTCCCGATCATCTCCGATGTCATCCTGCTCCTTGTTTTGTGCCGGGAACTCCTCAACTGCAGGGTTTCCCTTCTTGTCCACCGTCAACCTGGGCAACACACAATCCCCCACGCAGTCGATGACAATCGTGGCGAGCACATCCAGATGGGGCTCCTGCGGACCAGCAGCAACCTCCTACAGCTTTGGCGCGGTTTTGGAATGAAGATGATAAGTGGATGCTAATGTGTATTGGTCATACGTGGTCCGGACAGGGCAGGATTGCATTCCACAGTCTTTGGGTCCAAGCCGTGCTTTAGAGTTTGGGAGCTGAAATCCGAACAAAATCCTCGCTGTTTGCACCTCAATGGTGTAACTTAGACATGAGCCTGCCGCTTGTCGGGACGGGGCGGGGAAGGAACTTTGACAACAGTCTCCACGGCCAAAGGCTGTGGAGGTGGCGGCCCTGCACGATTTCTCTTGAAGCGCTTCGTCGTCGCAACCTCGAGCGACGCTGGCACCTCCGAGGAAGAGCCCAGGCTCCAAGCTGACCCAAGTTGCACCTAGAGCAGCTAGAGACAAGCCGGCCTCGACCAAAGGTTCCTGGAGCAGTGCCTTGGGATCCACTTCAACGTCCGAGTCATCATCCACGACCTCCCGTCCGTCCAGCTGGATGTCTGGCAGGTTCTCCACTTCAGCATCCTGGCTGAGGGCCACCTGGCTTTGCAGCTCTTTTTTCGAATCGGCAGCTAGGGCCCTGGCCATGCAGTCCCTTAGCCAAGTTGCATAGGCTGTTTGGGGTGGCCGCTCGTCATACTCCTCGTCGGGATTGGCTTCAGCGAAGGCCAAGCGCTGCTCGCGATCAGCTGTGAAGCGACCTAGCAATCAGCTCATGCTGGCTACATCCCGAGACACACGGTCGCAGACGTCAAGATCATGGGAGCTGAAACACAGTCGAAGTTGCAGTCTCCTATCAGAGTGTACCGGTAGTTGCTGGCAGCTGTCAGGGTCGCTTTCAAGCACGTCATGGTCACGGTGAAGCTGGCAGTTCCGTGCTCTGGCACCTGTCCAACGTCAACGTTCACCGTCTGAAGAATTCTCCGACCGGAACTACTTGCAAGCGCGGCACCACAGCTTCTACCGGCTCGATAAGCACTGGCAGCTCATCTCTAGGTAGGGAGAACGGATCTTGAATATGTGGAGGTTGCTGCGACCAAATCTTGAAGTTGAACGGCTCCTCGGGATCCAGCTCCTCCTCTTCCTCCTCCACACCGTCATTCTCCAATTTCAGAGTTGGCACGTCCTGAGCATGGCATACGCAAACCGCGTCAGGCAAAAGGCCGTAGAAACCTTGCATGTGTGTGGTGGCTTGCGCAACATTGAAGGGGCCTTGTCTCCAAGCTCCTCAATGAAGGGGTCCTTTATACTGGGGTTTCTGCCACATAGCCCCACGTGAATCATTGCTCGATCTTCTGCCATGTTCTCCAGCTTCATTTTCGGGAAGATCTGACAAGCGCAGACACTACATCAATGCGAACCCGCAGCAGCATTAATCATTAGTCTTATGGGCTTGCTCCGCCGTCGCTCGATTCTTGGATGGCAAGAAATTCTCAAACTTCTCTAATCGTTGTGCAGACCCGGTGTCCAGAGAACGTTTGAATGTTTGAGCGAACCAATGACTGCTATGGACATATCCGGGCCCGAGCCGCTCTTGCAATCTTGATTGCTGGTAGCTTGTGTCTGCATTGTCTGAAAGCTGCAAAGCATTGAAACATGTGGGGAGCATACCAGGGCCTGTACCGCCAGGGCGTGGCTGGGACATGCATTCTAGACCTGACTTTGAATTCGCAATGGGCACTGCAGCGCCGCAGTGCCGGGTGTTGAAACACGGGGAGTTGAAAATCTAGAAACTCTTGCAAACCACCCACCGCACCTTCCAGTTCACCACCACCCTTGCCGCAGAGTTGTTGCCCACTTTGAACCGTCTCATCAGCTGCTTCTCTGCCGGGACTGTCACACCGCAGAGCAACCTTCGAAGCTTCGAAGGCGAAAAAGACAAATGTCGGCTTGTCGCCACGAGGCCGGGCCTGGGAGGAGATGCCAAGGTGTTCAGGCCCACCTGCTGATCCGGAAGATACAACGGATTCCCGTACCTTAGGATGCAGCTGCTACGCTCGGAAGGCTCTCATTCAGAAGGTCACTGCTTTGGAATCCCTCCGTCGAATGTCCCAGCCGCGACTTCAAGCGCAAGGGTATGCGGAAGTTCTCTCCCTCCGAGTGCCCCGGAAGCTCTCGAAGCGTGAGGATCAGCTCCTTTGTTGCTTGGCTTTTTCTTTCGACGCAGAGCACTGGCCGTTCTTGGGCTTTGCAATACCTTACAGGTAACCCTATGTTTCAGTCTGGCATCGTCTTCCATGAGGCCAGGCAGATCACTAAAGGACGTCACAGTGATCACAGCCGTGCTGAAAGGCTGCAGCCAATCGCTGGCTGGTGCTGCCTTCACCGCCTGGAAGGGATGTCACAAGGCATTCCCGCACACAAAAAGGCTCCAATCGATGCCAGGCAGCGAAGCCACGTCCGGCTCGGAGCGCCATCTGGAAGCAAGCGGTTCGAGCGATCAGACAGCAGGTTTCTTCTAAGCCACTCTGTCAGAGATGACACGAGTAGTGAATAGGGCTGCGGCTCGGCCCTGCTCTTTCATCTCTTTCTGCTTGGCAAAATCAGCCCCGAAGCTGCTGCGGAAGGCCTCGGAGGCCACAATGCGACCCGCGAGCCACGAGCGATGGGCCGAATCCATTGCCTGGCCTGGCGCTCGTGCTTGTCGTCCAGAATCCACCTCCCAGGTGCTGTGATTACCGGGACGTCCCAATCGGAATGAGGAGCTCATCGAAGCCTCTTCTTCTTGGTGCTTGTCTTCTTTGTCTTGTTCAAAGTACTCCTGCTGACTCGAGGTCCGGAATCCGCTTTGTGCAGCAAAGTTGTGCGGCCGAGGCTCTTGAACTTCTTCGTTTTGATCCTTCTGCGGGGCAAGGCAACTGCCAGGAACGGCCGTGAGACCCAGCGGCATCGAGCCTTGGGTCGCTGTCATCGCGGCCGGCGCCAGCAGGCTGCGGAGTATTCTCGAAGCTCTGCTTCACAGTCTCCCCTGAGAAGACAACGACTCACAGACAATCAGAAGCCGCCCTTTGCAGCTCTGCATAGCGTGCACCCGAGTTGGTCCCTGGCCTAGGTTTTCAGGCTCGGCTCCACCTCCGGCAACGGCCACGTCAGCTTTGCACGGGCAGAGGCACAGCGTGTCGCAGCGTGGCATGTTCTGGTCTCTCGTGCCTGATTGGTTGATCAGCGCGTACATTCGAGTCGCTGCATCGAGGTAATCGCCAATCTTCCTGCCCTTCACCAACGGATCAAAGGCCGGGTTCTTGTCCACTTTCACACCTTACGAAAAAGAAGGCAACAAAAAGAAGCAAGCTGCTGCAAGCAAGCACTACATGTTGCTGCTTTGCGATGCATTACGAGGCGCTGTAGGGTGTCGCGATGCCCGTCCTGTTGTACAGCACCACTTGCATGACTTTGGCCCTTTGGAGCGGCAGCTCGCCAAAGTCCACCGCTGGCATTCTTCTCGGAGCTTTCCCGCTGGTGATCATGTATGTGCCACGGGGATCGCATGGTGAATCGCCAGGCTGTCGTGGTTTGAGCTCTATTTCAGGAGGTAGATCTCCAGCTGAAACCACAGCATAGTCCACTTCGCAGCCATAGACAACGGCAGTCACACGCAGCCTGCACAAAGACAGCTCGGAGTGAAGCAGAGGCACGCACCGAGATGCTAGGAGAGGCAGCCAAGGCACTCCAAAGGCTGAAGGATTTCTTCGATGAAGAGATGGCATGGCAGAACGGCGTGACCTCAAAGCAAACAGGCAGTCAGGAAGGCTCGGACTAGGGCAGCACCGAGTTTCTCACCATCCTCCGGGATCTTCGTAGGCACAGCAATGATGGTGCATCTCCGGCTCTCTCTTGGTGGTATGAAGCCCTGGCACCACGTGTGAGTCGTAGGTGAGACGTGGTAGCGACTGCCTGCAGCATCCCGCCTGCGACGGATGGATTTGAGCCTCCAAGCCTGAAGTCCCAGGTGTGCAATATCCAATGCAACTTGCTGCGGGCTGCGGGGTTGACATCCTAAACACTGGCTGCTGCTTGGTGGCAGCCGTCCATCTTTACCGGCACCTTCCATGAGAAGTTGGCGGGCATTTCGGACTCGTTGCGAAGCTCCACCTCCATGGGTTCGGATGCTGTCCTGCACAAACCCACACAAGTGTAAACAGAGAGCAAAGGCTCGTTTGAGGTCTCGTGTCTGTGCAAACACCGAGTGCACTCCTGAGGTAAGTGACTGGGAAATGAGCCTCGGACAATGCTGTTCAACAGGCCGTGCCAGCAGCTTAACAGCTTCTTGTCGTAAGGAGCGAGATTCTTAAATCTTCACCGTCATGCAATGTGGTGCGACCGCCAATGCTGACAAGAGGCGTGATGCGTGTTGATACGCACCAACCTAAAGGCGCAGGATCAGCGAGAAGCTCCCCCGAGTCTCACGTGCTTCACTGGAACTTGGAACTGGAAAGGCTGAGGCCGCGCACGGCAGCTGTACGGATGCAAATACTTCGAGACACTGGGCATGCAAGGAATTGAAGCCAACAGCCTTAGCTCCATTGCCCAACCCTGCATCACACTCCGCCAGTGCCTCACACCTCAAAAAGAAACTAGAAGACAATTGGCCCGAAAGCATCATTAGCGAAGAGTTTAGCGCTACGTTATAGAATCCAGTGCATAGAATTATAGAGTCATAGCGCGAAGTGCATCTAATTATGAAGTATATGGCAATGCCGAGATCGATATTTTTGAATCTATGAACTTGACTCTACGTGTTTCACTCTGCGTTCCTCAGTCGATGTTGTCAAAGCTGTCGAAGCAGTGTATAAACTTAAGTATATGAAGTCAACTGCATGCGGCGAAGTGCATAGAGTCAAGTGCATAAGTCAGGTGAATAAGTATCTAGAGTCATGGTGTCAAGTTGTTTCAGTGCAGCCAGGTCCGGTGGTCGGTGATCGTATTATAGTGCTGCGGTATCTTGGTTGGAGCTGATCCAGCACGGAAGACGGTAGAGATTCGATCGAGGCAGGTAAAGAACAGTCCTCAGTGTGGTAAGATGCTGCAACATGTTCATCCCTTCGAGCAAAGCATGCGGGTCATACATGTGCAATGAGAAAGCCTCTGCAATCGACGTAGAGATTCCGAGCCTGAATAAGTCATCGAGCAGGCACCGGCGACGCCTCATTGCAATACAAACTGACTCACGTAGGCAGTGACCAACGGCGGCGATTCCCCATGAAGCGTCCTGCTCGGCAATGCGCCGCGATAGAGCTTCCAACAACTCCGCTTTGGAAAATTTGCGCCCGGCTGACTTCTGCTGCGCATCCGCCAGCGACAGCGAGCCCACACAACTGATCGCGAGTTCGCTTCCCGAGCTCGTCGCGGAGCCAGGCTTCGCCGTGCCCGGCACAGCCCTCTCGCAGCTCCTGCAGCTTTTGCTCCGACGCAGCAACAGCATCGACCTGACAGCAAAGCTTCACGTGAAAGCACGAAACATCTAACCTGGCCACGACACTGACGCCTCACTGCAAGACAAATTGACACAGACAATGATCAACGACATCGATTCCCCATGAAGCCTCCTCCTCGACCAAGCACTATGATAGAGCTTATACCGATTCCAGCTTGGACAGAGTGCGCCAGGACGAGCACTGCGGCACACTCGCAGCGGCAGCAAGCCCACACAACTGCCTGGCAGTGCTCGGAGCCAGGTTTCACCGTGCTCGCCAAAGCCCTCTCGCAAGCCATTCAACTGCTATGGCAGCAACACCATGTGTCCACCCCGGCCCTTTCGCAAAGCGTCTAGTCAGGCAAAGAACCGTCCTAAGTATGGTGAGATGCTGCAATGTACTATCACTTTCGAGCAGAGCGAGGCAGGTAAAGAACAGTCCTCAGTATGGTAAGATGCTGCAACATGTTCATCCCTTCGAGCAAAGCATGCGGGTCGTACATGTGCAATGAGAAAGCCTCTATAATCGACGTAGAGATTCCGAGCCTGAAAAAGTCATCGAGCAGGCACCGGCGACGCCTCATTGCAATGCAAACTGACTCACGCAGGCAGTGATCAACGACAGCGATTCCCCTTGAAGCGTCCTGCTCGGCAATGCGCCGCGATATTCTGCTGCGCATCCGCAGCTGAAAGCATGCGCGCAAGTGCAGTGATGGAAGCATGTGCTTTTTCTTAACGGTCTTAACGCCGACAAGGAGCACTTCTCGTCGGCCTTGCGACGTTGCACGACACTGTGAAATAATTAGTTTGGGCCGGCCACAGTATTCATGCAGAGCAGTGCATTCGATGCATCCCGTCACGAAGCAACGCTCACTGACATGTTGAGGTGTGTGTGTTATTTGTATGCTAGTCTTTTATCTTCATCTACGTATAGATTCAATCTCGTCTTGCGAGTTGCACTTCAAGAGCTTGGTTTTCAACCTCGGTGTACACCTTACTGCGACAGCGAGCCCACGCAACTGATCGCGAGTCCGCTTCCCGAGCTCGTCGCGGAGCCAGGCTTCGCCGTGCTCGCCACAGCCCTCTCGCAGCTCCTGCAGCTTTTGCTCCGACGCAGCAACAGCATCGACCTGACAGCAAAAATTTCACGTGAAAGCACGAAACATCTAACCTGGCCACGACACTGACGCCTCACTGCAAGACAAATTGACACAGACAATGATCAACGACATCGATTCCCCATGAAGCCTCCTCCTCGACAATGCACTATGACAGAGCTTATACCAATTCCAGCTTGGACAGAATGCGCCAGGACGAGCGCTGCGGCACGCCTGCAGCGGCAGCAAGCCCACACAACTGCCTGGTAGTTAGTCCCCGAAGCTCCGCACGGAGCCAAGTTTCACGGTGCTCGCCAAAGCCCTCTCGCAGGCCATTCAGCTGCTGTGGCGGCAATGCCATGGTACTATGTACTCCTACAACCACTACTACTACTATTATTATTATTACTACCATCTACTAATACTACTATTACTACTATTGCTTACGATTACTACTACACCTTCATGCGCAGCAAAAGTGTTAACTTTACCTCGCGTTCGAACATTCGACAACGCCAATCTCTGTGAAGGGTTGCAAATTTCACTTCAATGCACATCAAAAGTAATAACTTTACCTCGCGTTCGTGCGTTCAACCACGCCAATCCCTGTGAAGGGTTGCAAAATTCATCTCAATTCACATCAAAAGTAGCAACTTTACCGACTCTACCTAGCGTTCGTGCATTCGACCATGCCAATCCCTGTGAAGGGTTGCAACATGCCAATCCCTGTGAAAGGTTGCAAAATGCACCTCAATGCGCCCAAACCCTGTGAAGGGTTGCGCGGCGCCCGCAAAATGTGTAACTTTACCTAGCGTTTGAATGCTCGAGGAGGCGAATCCCTGTGAAGGGTTGCGCCGGAACCCTAAAATGTGTAAATTTACCTAGCGTTTGGGCGCTCGACCAAGCCAATCCCTGGGAAGGGTTGCGCCGGAACCCTAAAATGTGTAACTTTACCTAGCGTTTGGGCGCTCGACCAAGCCAATCCCTGGGAAGGGTTGCGCCGCGCGCCTAAAATGCGTAACTTTACCTAGCGTTTCTGCGCTCGAGGTGGCCAATCCCTGTGAAGGGTTGCATTCCCGATGGGATGACGACGGTGCCACCCCTGGCTTTAGAAGAGAGATTAGATACCGAGATGTAGAGAGTAAGTCATAGAGGCATAGAGTCAAATTCAAGTTCATAGCATAGAGATAGCATAGAGTCAAGCAAGAAAGTAAGTATAGAGTTCAAGTTCATAGCATAGAGATAGCATAGAGTCAAGTATCAAGTGTAGAGTCAAGTAAGTAAGTCAAGTAAGGTATAGAGTCAAGTAAGTAAGTAAGTAAGTAAGTAAGTATTTCAGGTATAGCGTCATAGAGTCAAGTATCAAGTGTAGAGTCAAGTAAGGTATAGAGTCAAGTAAGTAAGTCAAGTAAGGTATAGAGTCAAGTAAGTCGATTGTATGTATGTCATCTATGTACTCATCTACCCGGCTCCGCACGGAAGAACCCTTCGCGATGCTTTCGGGAAAAAGCAAAAAGGGATGCCTGGGCTACACATTTCCGGCCTCCAACAGAGCCGTGTATTTTCCGACGCTTCCCGTCCGAAGCGTAACTTCGACCTCCACAGGCCACAAGTGTGGGCAAAAGAGTAACCTCCGAAGCAATGCTCTGCCAAAGGCCTCGCCGCTTTTCCCTGGCCAAAGTGCCAAAAAGCCGGGATGGAACACGAAGTCCTGCAGTCAGAGACTTGGAGTCTTAGAGACTCCGCTGGGTGAGAATGTGAGGGTCGATGATGACCCTGTCTGGTGGTCCTCTGAGTCTGATACGAATCTGACCGCATCCAGATCACCATCGTCGGAGCTCCTGCCAGGGCCCCCCCTCTGCATGGCGGTAACAGGGCTTTGCACTTGTTTGCTTTTTGGGGCCGTCCTCGACTTTGCCCCGAACTTGCGGCGGCCACTTTGGTCGAGGCAGCCACTGCGCGAATGGACCCAAGGCTGCACGGCCGCCTCGAGGTACTGCTCGGACTCGATGGCCGCAAAGCCTTCCGGACTTCTCCGGTTCACGGCATCCACGAACAGATTCACAACTTCCCGGTGCGACTCCACGGGAAACTCGTGATTGCGCTTCGTGTCCTTCGGGTGAAGCTGCGAGACATGGCGAAGCAGGAAAAAACTTACATTTTCGACTCTCGCCTTGCACACACGGCGGGCAAGGAGAACAATTTACAAGCCCGGCTAAATTGGTGACTACCCCAAACAATGGCCTCCTTTTCCGCAGCGACTTCTGCGCTACATACCCTTAACCATGCCGAGAAAAGATCCAACAATCAAAATCTTGCGGAAGCTTCGGGCCTTGAACTGTCGGAGTTGCAGCATCATCGGCAGCTGCGTTGGATTGCTTAGCACCACTTTCAGCGTGTGTCTCGAATGGGCTCGCACCACACCGAAGTCCAACATGGACGTGCTCCTCATTTCAGCTCGCGGGGCTCGAACAGCGGCTGCGATTCCAACCTGCGCGGTCGGTGCAGTGTCTTCTGATACAAATAATCTCTACTTCAGTGGTTTGTTCTCTCATGGTGTGCTTTGCTAACATGCTGACTATTGCATGATAGGATACTCCTCGGGCTGAAGGACCGTGCCTTGAGAGCTGTTGCTGCAGGCTCGCTGCTCTTCGCATCCAGTGGCAAATCAATGACGAGCTGTCCATCCAAGTCGCACTCATGCACAACTCGCAAGGTCACCCGAATCGTCACAACACCTCCAGGTGGAATACGGCCCTCGTGTGGTTCAACGGCGCACGATGCCAAAGCTCCGTAGCCAGGCAGCTGTGATGCTCCTGGGATTCCTGGCTCTGGTGGCAGTGGCGGCCACGACTGGGCCAGCCGGGCAGCTTGCAGTCTCATCTCTTCAAGCACGGGGTTTGCATGCGGAATCGGCTGAGGCTCCTGGGGTTTCATGCCAACTTCGGGCACGGAGACAATCCAAAGCGGATCAATTTTATTGGCATCGGCTGCATGGAGAGTCGATGTCAGGCGCACTCTGAAGTACGATGAGTGCGAGCCAGAGTTGTAGACCTTGATCTCGCGCACGCTGGGAACAAAAGGAAGCACGTCCCCCGGCAGAACGATCGCACGAGGCATTGCCGAAATTGTTGGCCCCACAGTCTGGCCCTGTAGGCAAACCGCTGTAATGACTCGGCTGACGGCACAATCCTTCAGGGGGTTGGGATGCTTGGGCATGCTTGGGCACTGCGGGGAACTCGCACAACAACCTGGGGTGTTCCTGTCACTTCGAAAAGCCAGGGCAGATTGAGATGAAAGACCTCTTGACCTCACAACCCGGCCTTTGGATCTGCTACCTTAACGTCCAGCGGGTCAGTTGAGCCAGTGCTCTTCAGCTTCTTGTCGAAGGGTTGACTGACAATGCCTCCGAAAAGGGGGAGATGTTTGGAGTACGCGTCATCGTCTGGCCGCATCTCATCCTGCAGCTCCACCAGCTGGTTGTAGTGTAGCAAACAGGCCATGCTGTCAGGCAAGTCACGTGCTACCAGGTACGCGAAAACTGCGGACTGTGACCCCACAGGTCCGAATGCCTCGAAAGAAAAAGTGAAGGTACTTGTGGTAAACGGTTCGATCGTTACTGATGCCGGTTCCACCTTGAATGGACAGGCCGCTGTCAAGTGGTTGCCGGGCAGATGCACCCTCCAGTCGTGGATTTCATTGATCAACTTGTCGGTCAAGCGATTGATGGAACCCACGGCTAGCCGAGCCAGGATCTGACGTGGTGGCTGGGCTAGAGCCCATTCGACTCTCATAGGCATGAAACCACCATTTGAAATCTGGATGGACTGCTTGGTCTTGTGCCCAACCTGCGTACCAGGCCGCATCCAATTAAGTTGCCACGGGACGAGTTGCCAAGCGCAGCTACCCTCTTCGATTGCTGCAGGCGGCAACTCTTCGTTGAGGGTGGGCCATCTGCAAAGCTCCAGGCGGACCGCATCACACACAGCAACTAAGCTGAGTGGCGTCTTTACACCGTTGTCCCCTTCAACGAACAAGGGACACCTGTGATGTCCGACTTTGTCAGCTTCGAAACGCACGCTCAAGTCCGTGAAGGAGTTAGCGTCCAAGTAGAAGGAGGCCGGGGAGACACGAAATGACCCGACAACAAGCGTCAAGTCGGTGCCAGGGTAGGATTCGTAGCCTGGGTCTTGTCCAAGAACTTAATTGAAGCTATAATAAAACTGAACCCACAATACTTACTATAGATCCCTAGTACGGTAACTTAAAAAGCACACTCCTTAACCAAAACCTCGGAACAATAATCCTCCGGCGGCTCCTCTTCACTGATGATCAAGCGGAAAGCGCCTTCGCCTCCGAGGTTTCGTATTCTCACGGGCTCCGTGATGTTGTTGCCTGCAGCTGGGGCATACTCGTAGTACTGCAATTTCGGTTATTACTTGTCTACTTATCATCATTCCTAGCTCCTTCATAATATGAGAATTACTGTTGGTGGCATTATACAGCAGCACTTTCTGATTCTTATCGTGCCATGTTACACTACTGTTCTTACTATTACTTGTTTTGCCTCCTACGGTTTATAGCATCCAACTGTGCTAGTTCAGGGCTTTGTTTTCAAGAGATTGGTCACTCTCAGCCCTAGTATGCACATAGCCCGAAGAGGCTGACTGGCAACATGCCACGCAAGGAGTTCTATTTCTAATTAGTGTTTGTGTTCTTACTCTTATTACGCTTCTTACTATGTGCATTGTTGACATTGTTGCTACTTTCATTGTTCGGCATTAGTCTTAGTGGTACTATTATTATCGCCATGTTTTTATTGGTAGCGTTATCATCACTGGTATTGCTCTTACTATGTGCATGGCTCCAGGTATACAAATGCCTTTGCGTTAAAGCTAGATTTGGCTCCACTCTGAGCCGGGAGAGCTGCGCCTGCCAGCATGCATCCGCAATTGACGGGCTCGTCGATCTTCAGCTTTGGCTGATCTCTCCTGGCCAAGAGAGGCAGTTGGTAGTCCCCGATCTCTGTACAGATGGTCAGGAACTCTGTCTCGTCATTGAGGGTGTTCGGCGCGAAAGACCTCGGAAGCTGAGCAGACAAGCCGCGCTTTCCCGTAGCAGGGGCAGCCTGTGCATGGCTCAGCTCCAAGCACCGTGAGGTGGGCAGCCATCCCCGGCGCAACCACCGCCGCTAAAGGATCGAGCCCGACCAGCTCGGGCCTCTCGGCATTCAGCTCCTCAACACACTCACGATAGCGCAGGCCACGATGACCCCTTGCCGCACTCTTCCCATGTCCTTGTCGTACCGGAGTTCCTTGACGGAAAACGCGGTGTTGTTGCAGGGGAGAACTCGCAAGCGTCGACTGATCCCAGTGGAGTTGCGGAAGTCTACCTGCCAGTAGGCGCAAGCACGCAAGATAAGCGCACCACCAAAGAACCAAGCAGTCGCTTGAGAAATCATGAAAGGGATGCTCCGAGAAAGGCCTGGATCTGATAAAGCCCACCGATCTCATAATTTCGAAACAAGATCGTTTCTGGCGTGAACCTACCGGCAACAACACCGATTTCCAGGGCACATTCAACAAAAGCCAGCCATGATCTGAGCTCAGTGCCAAAAGGGGCAAGGCTCGCCCCTGTCCTTCCCTTGCCGATCTGCCAGAAATCGAGGATTCTTGAGGAAGTTTACCTCAGGCCCCGAAGAGCGTAAGCAAAGCTAAGGTTGCCGGGCGCTGGGAAACCTGCCTTCATCTGCATCCTCTTGACAATCTCCCGATTTTTGGCTTTCTGGTCGGCATTGAGTCCAGCTGGCATACGAGGTCTCTTTCGTAACCTCTCCTGCATGAAGTCCCAAGCCAAGCTCAGCTTGCTTGGTGGCGAGCGAGCATGCGAGAATGAAGCCATTCAATACTTATTCAATCGACTTCCCCAGGCCTGCAAGTCAGCTGTGATCAGATTTTTCTGCTCTTCTGTGAGGGTGGCTTGAACCTGCGAACTGCCAGGAAAACGACCGTGCACTTGGGCAGTTGTCACTGTGTGCAGCTGTCCTGCTTGGTCTCTGCACGCAGCTGGAGGGACTTCGTCATCTTAAAATGATTGGGCTCCTGGACGGATCACATGGCCACAGACAGCTTTGTTGTTGATGTTTGTTCTTGCTGCTACTTCGGCTGATATCCTTCCAACAATCGCAGTGCTGCCACTAGTACGAGTCCAGCTGGCCTCGGGCTTCGAGATCGCCAAGAGGTTGTCGTGCTGAGGGATCTGTCCCTTTTTGATCTCGTAGAACCGCTCCATGTCTTCCATCATGCGACGCCTCAGTGGCTTCGGAGCTCCCCCCTTCCGCGCTTCCGAGCAACTTCCTGGGACTCGCGCGGTACGATGAGACCTTCCCTCACCATCTCATCCGGGTCGACTCTGTGCTTCAACTTGCCTGCTGCGGGGGGGCATGGCGCACGCAGGTTCCAGCGTTTCCGGCGTGATCGTGGTGTGATTGAGGTTGAAGGCTGGTGAGGACGAGCTGCTTTCCGGCACAGGCAACTGCTCGCGCATTACCAGGCCCCAGCGCTGCAGCAGCTCTGCTGCTTCCTGAATCCACAAGGTCACAAGGGCTCAGACGGAAGCCGAAGGATGGAAGGCGAGGCCGCTGTGCGTCCGCTCTGCGATCCAAGAATCGTCTTGGTCGCCTTCACGCGCTGCCTGCCTTATCGTGCGAAGCAGTTCCTGCACGTGATCCACGTGATCGCCATCAGCCAGGACTTTGTCCCCAATGGCCTTGATCTGCTCAGCTTCCTCGCAGAAGGTTTGCCACTTGGCTCCAAGCTAAGCATGGAGCGGCGTAGGGTTACGAGCAGGACTGGTTTGAGTTGTCCTTGTTGAGATTGATCTCGGAATCTACGGCACTGGCTGATGTCTTTGCACCTTGGGTTGACATAAGCTGGAGTACGTTGTAGGCCTTTTCCAAGTTGCAAGCACCAAGTCATCAAGTGCTGGAAACAGGGCTTAAGATGACCAGCTGGCTGACAGACCACGACTTCGAAGTGACTGGAGCGCTTGCTTCACATCTGAGGTTGACACCGGCTTCTGCCTCTTCCTCCTTATCCTCCGCTGGATCCGCCGAGGCAGTTGATGTGCCAGTATAGAGCTCTTTGAAGACATCTTCGTAAACGAAACCAACCTCAGCACGAAACAACTCAAGCCTAAATGTCTCATCACGTTCATGTATAGTTCCTAGAATACATATGCCCACGGCATGGCAAGACACATAGCCCTTCGGGTGGTCACGTGCAGTTGGCCGATCCTCCGGTTGTGGATCAGGTGACACATCGGCATCCGACATGGGGGTTCCCACCGAACGCCGGTGAAAAACTATCAACAGGGACGAACCCTTTGAGCCATATCCGTGTATGAGCTCGATTTGCGCAATCAGATTTCCAAACAGCTACCGCAGAAAACGAGGAAGCCCGTCATTCGCGTTGCAGCAGATTTGGGGTAGGAAAGGTCCTCTCAAGATCGCCTAACTTTGTCACAGCTGTTTGAAACCGCTTATGATGCCTATGCCAAAGGTAGGGAAAAGGGAAGTGATGACACTTTGGTTTCGCAGTTTCGGCTGGGCCTGTTTGGTCTGTACTATATAGTGTTCTCGTGGCTTGCATGTTCCACTACAGGTATGCAATGCCAAAGCTACAATGTGTTCGGGCTTCACGGCGGCGCATACTTTTCCCAAACACCATCCCCGGTCAGCTGAGGCTTGAAGGTCGAAGTGATTCGAGGCACACTTCAGGCGGACCAGCAGGACGAACGGCAACTTAGTTTCATCACAGGCTGGCGCACAGCTGAGATAGAGATCTACAGTAGCCGCTTCAGTTTTGCACGCATCCCTGCAGCCGAGGCACCGTTTCTCCCAGGTCAGGTTCCCATATCGAAGGGATTATGGCATAACTTCCCGGACCAGTAAGGCGAGTCTTCAGAGAAACTGATCTTCTCCGGCTCAGGAGGCTTGCAGCGCTGACCGCGTTGTGGCGCACAATTCGCTTCTTGTCGAAGACGGTTAATCGCTCGTCGGGATGGTTTAGCCACATGACACACACGAAAATCTGTCGCAACTTCTCCTCGAACGGAAAGGAAGAATAACGTGAGTCGGACAGCAGCCGTGCGTCTTGCTGATACAGGGTGACGCACAACTCGGCATCTGTATCGTGAAGGGTGATTCGACACTGTGGGTTGCGACCCCAACTTTCCGGAGTTGCAAGGACGGGCTGTATCACTGGAATTGGCGTACCACCACAGGTGTCATGCTTCCACTGCCCCTGCAACCGCCGCGTCTGCCAGTCATCCTCATTGAGAAACGACTGTTGCAGGAGTACGTGGCTGAAGACTTGCAGCCAGTCTTGGAATCCCATGACGAAAGTTCCATCATGCAACTCGGCCGGATCACGGTTGAAGTGCTGCAAGGGCATCTGTGGGCGCAGCACGGGCCTGTGCGCACCAGACGCGCCGCCAACTCGGAGCCCACAAGCTGGCAGAAACTCTGCAAAGCCTTCGATTTGCAGTTGTTTGGCGAGTTCGCCAGCTTGACTCCATGCCGGATCCTGGTCACTCCATGCTCCACACCAACGGCCGGAAGTGAAAGATCTCAAGCGCACCAGGTGCAAGCCTTCAGACTCTGACTCCACCTCTCGCAGCGCCAGCAAAGGGTATGGCCAGTTCCTGTGCACCCCAGTGCAGAAGGGGCCCGGGCCCGCTTCCTTCTTGGCATCAAGGTCTAGTAAAAGCGGGTCAACTTGGACCATCTCCGACAAGGTGCTGCCCGAATCCGCCCGCAAGCAAAGCAACGAGGCCCCACTGGCCATCTCCTGCAAAAGCATCTGCCAAAGTTCACCGGGATCCTTGTCGGCTGGCAGGACCTGTTCATCTGCAGCCCCATCGGCATCTAACTTGGCTGCAAACTTTGAGGTTTGGATTTTTTCCGTTGGCCAAGAGGTCAAATCCTCCAAAGCATCGTCCACAAATCCCAGTGACAGCGCAAAATAGGAGCCATGAAGCTTTGCGTATGCCTTTTCTATCAATGCGGCCCAGATCTGGGGCACCTTATCCAACCCGTGGGTTCGGCTGAAGAGCGGCTCCTTTTGCCGAAACGGCAGGCGGTCGTCGACTAAGACGTAAAACCAGGAGCCGTGCTTCGAGAAGCGGAAGCAATAGATGCCACGCCTTCGGAGCTCGGGGTCCCAGAAAAGCCGGGGATAGACGCCCAGAGGCTCCTGGTGCCCGGACGGGTCTCCAAACAGCACGTGCTCCCGCAACGACAAGGAGCAAAGTGCCCCCAGAAACCATGCATCAGCAAAGCTGCCCAGTTTCACTTCGGCCAGCTCGCCACAGAAGGAATGGGATTCCCAAACCTCACTGGGCCTCAACCAGGCCACGTCCCTGAAAGATGGAGCCCCGGGTGAAGGAGAGCTTGGCAAGGTGGCGGAGGCATCGTGCACTCCAGGTCCGAAATTGGGATCCGAATATAGAGTCTCGGAAAGCCCGTCCTTTAGCTTCTCCATTTCTTTCAGTGCCTCCTTCATGGATGTGAAAATGCCCGACCCTGTCGTCACATGAAGACCCGAAGCTCCTCCTTGGTCAGGCAGTAAATCCGCAGCCGCTTGTGGCAGCTCCTCGAAGGCCTTCGCCAACTCATCCCGCGGAGGCTCCGGCAGTGTCCGTGACCGACCTGAGCGGCTTTGGAGCGACGGAGTGGAGCCCGAAGCCGAAGCTGCAGCAGCAGCGGCAGCTGCAGCTCGCTTGGGCTTGGGCTGGGACTGCGCCCGTCCCCGGGAAGAAGTTCCCAAAGCCGGCGGGGCCTTAGCTTTGGCCTCGCGTTCCGCCCGTGCCTCGGCTCGCACCCCTGCCCTCGCTTCAGCGGAGAGGGGGCGGCCAAGACCGCGGCCAGGGCCCGCTGGATGAGAGGACGGACTGCTTCCCTGAACCACCTGACCCCGCTGAGGATGTGCCTCAACCACTGCCTGGGAGGCCTGAGACTTCAACTCCTCCGTGGCCTGTGGATCCGTCGGTCTTGGTTTTGGCTCAGCTTGCTCTGCTGGCTCTTCTTTTGCCAAGGCTACTCTGGACCAAGTTCCACTGGCGCTTGCCTGGGTTACAACAGGTCTTGGCTGGGGCTCACCGCGGCGCTTACCACCATCCTGCACATAGTTCTGGAGGAGGGCACGCAAAAAGTTCTTAAAGTGAGTCAAAGCCATCTGATGCATATCAGGATCGCAGTGCTCCGTCCAGACGCTGTAGAGTTCAGTTGACGAAACGGACTGGCCTGCAGACTGGAGTATGCCCTGAACCATGGGAGCGACTTTGCGCAGCGTGACAACGCCCTGATCTGAGTGGTTGCTGAACGTCCGTTCGCACAGAAAGTCAAACATTGGCTCATCTTGGAGGAGGCGCTGGATTTCTGAAGCCAATGGACCCCCGGAGTCCATGAACGCGGGCTCGGCAAAGGGCTTTTGTCATGCTGGCATTTTTGGACCAGAGAGCTTTTTGCAGAAGATGCTGCGCAGTACTTCCGAATCCAAACCTTCAACTGATCCTAAAGCTAGCTGGTTCCCAAGTTAAGGGAGATGACTCCAGGGCAGAAGGCCGTTTAGATCCCTAACCAATTAAAACCAGCACCCTCTTGAATGAAGACACCGTAAGACACCACGTGTAATCTCGTGGACATCAAGAAATCGAATCTAAGACGCGCCGGGGGGCTTGGCTGGAGTGATGTGGAGTGTAAAGACGCGGACAGCCACGGTTTCTAAGGGTCGGGTAGAACGGTTTCTAAGGGTCGGGTAGATTTGTCTTGACATAAGACAGAGGATCTGGGACATCGTGGTCTTCTTTTAGGCACCAGGTGGCAGCATCAAGTTTATCCTTTTTGTGTGCTGTTCCTCTTGCACAGCAACAATCTGTGCAAGTCTGCAGACGACGGCCCGACTATGCTCTAATCAAAGGGGTGGCACCACTTCGTGGGCACCCCACCACATCGGAGCACAGCAGCTTCCCTCCGCAGCCATCTCCCATGCTTCCGGGTGTCCGCTGCCAACAAATCGTCCAGGGACGAAACGTTTCAGCCTGCGGCACGTTCCGTCTTCTTCACGTGACCAGCTTCTGTCTGAGAACATTCAATCCTTGTCTTCGTCGAAGGATATGACAGGGCAACATTTACGAATATTGCGGTCATGGCGACTTTTGCTAGGTTTGATCGAGTAGCAGACTCACCAAATAGCGGACTTTCAGGTGAATGCCGATTACCTCAGACTCAGATGTTGGGGTAAAGTTGGATTGGCCCTGGCATGCTTTCGGTGGCAAGTTGCATCTCCTTTTGTAACAGGCCCACGCAGACTCATCAGACCGGTGACGAGCCTTAACGCGAATGGGAGCTCTTGACAGGACAGCCTGGAGGAAGGCTCAAGCTGCCGCATGCTGCCACGGGGCTCGTCCACGCTTAACTCTCCACCCGCATCGGCGTCCAGCACATCAAAGAGACCAACCCTGCCAGACGCGTCAATGCTCGCCTGGCAGCGACGGTGTGAAGGTGCGCCCCTCGGACAGTTCCAGTGATCCGAGGCCCGGCCTCATCCAGCACGCGAACGAAGTCGACATCCTCGAACCAGGAGGCAAACTCCTCGCGCGATATGTTCCGGCCTCCAGCCTCAGAGCACCGAAACATTCGGCAGCAATGGCAATGCACTTGGAAGGAAGAATCAGGCCGGGTCACCTGCAATACCCAGTCCATCCCTTCTGATCGTGTCTTCAAATCAGCTGATGAATGGTAGCTGTGCCTCCGCAAGCCAAGCTTGCGAATGATGCGGTCCTTGCCACAAAATACCATGTCGTGTGATGTGCATGCATGACGCATGCAGCTTGCCAGCTGCTACCTTGACTTTTCGCGAGGCAACAGCGAAGTTTCAGCCCAAGGCTTTCCTTGATGTTCAGCTCCATCTGGAGAGCCGTTTCGGAGATCTCGTTCTGTTTCCGAGTGAATTGTGAGCTCATGACGTTCCTGAAGTCCACCCAAGAAACATCACATCACTCCGCCATGGACACATGGACAGGAGTGTTGATCACCGGCCCAGCGGGCACGATCTTGAGCTGAGATGCTCAATGAAGACCGCCATAATTAAGTTAAAGACGCCCACCGTAATGAGCATGATGATGAATATGTACCCAATCTTATCAGTTTCTCAGGCCAACATTCCGTTCTACATAGGGCTCAAGTCACGGCTCAGGCACAGACCATGAAGACAGGACCATACTCGGCACGCAATCTTTCAGAGAGAGGTGTCCCATCAAGCGCTGTGCATC